TAAATCTCATAACACCCTTCATGGGTGAAACATTTAGCAAAACCTTCTCACCAACCATGTAGGATACATCTAGAACCTTCCGGTCCGCATAACTTTCCTGACGCGACTGCGCTGTACGAAGCCTTTCCTGAATCACCTTCACCTTCTCTAAGGCATCCTAAACCAAATCCGTCCCCAATAGCCTAGCCTCACCGGGCTCAAACCAACCAACTGGAGATCTACACCGCCTCCCATACAAACCCTCATACAGCCATCCGAATACTCGACTGGTAGCTGTTGTTGTAGGCAAACTCTGCAAGCGGTAGAAACTTATCCCATGAACCTCCGAAATCAATAACACATGCACGCAATATGTCCTCCAATATCTGATAGTACGCTCGGACTGTCCGTCCGTCTGAGGATGAAATGCTATGCTCAACTCCACCTGAGTACCCAACTCTCACTGAATAGACTTCCAAAACTGGGAAGTAAACTGAGTACCCCTATCTGAGATGANATCTCTAAGACCAGCCCCATTGGGCACACAAATCCGGCCCTACATTCTCGACACACCATCATTACCGATGGTCACATCTCTGGCATCATCATGTTAAACTCTGTCTCTAATGACGTTTTGGGCTGAGGACTACTATTTTTATTATTACCCGAGGGGCTTATGTGATTTCTGGACTGAGTATGGGATCGGGCTACGCGTTGTAGTAGTATTATATTGATATTGAGGCCGAGGGCCTAGTTGATGCCACGAGATGGCTTGTTATTGCGCTTGGGCCGTAAGGGGCCCCTCCCGGAGTCTACACACCCCCAGTGAGCGTCGTCGACGATAAATAAATAGATCGGGCTGCACGCCGCAGCGGGTACTAGAGAGTACCGTTTTATTTGTTGCATTTCCTTATTTATCTGTCATTTATCTGCTTATCCGTGGTAGTAATTCTATGCTTCGATTTCATTGGTTTATCGCTTTCATTCTACTTGTCTTAAATTGCCTAATTATAGATTACCCTGTGTTTTTCTATGATTTCTTATTCTCAGCTATTATTTATGTTTATTACTCACTGGGTCGGAGTACTTACATTACTCCCTGAACCTTGCGTGCAGATCCAGGTGCATCTGAGGCTGAGTGAGGATTATTTTAGTTGAGCAACGCATATCCGGGGAGCATCGAGGTAGCTGTATGGCGTCCGCAGCCCTGATCTCTCCTTTCTATCCTTTTGTTTTATCCGCAATTCCCTAGACTGATATGTATTAGATTGGTAAACCTGTATTAGAGGCTCAGACTTGTGACACCGGATCTATAGGGGCTATGTAGTAGGATTATTATTTGAAATTCTGCATGTTTAACTCTTACTTCAGACTTCTAATATGATGATTTGGTAAACTAACTGTGATGGCTGGTAATGAACTGCATGAGAAATGGGTTAAGGTCGTTTATTGGTCAGGCTTGCCTAGTAGTGTGTTAGGCGCCATCACGACCGGGGGTGGGGTCATGATATAACTGTAAGTTAAGGACTCTTTGTCCTTTACTTTTGAACGTGTAACTATAAGTTAAGGATTGTATGTCCTTAACTTTTGAACTTGTAACTGTAAGTTAAGGACTGCATGTCCTTAACTATAGAACTTGTAACTATAAGTTAAGGATTGTCTGTCTTTAACTTTTGAACTTATGTCCTTAACTATTGAACTTAACTTTAGGACTTCAAGACTACATTTCCTTAACTTTTGAACTTGAAACTCTATGTTCAGGACCATGTCCTTAACTTTTGAATTTAACTTTAAACTTCAGGACTACATGTTCTTAACTTCTGGGAAGGAATTGCATTTCCTGTTTACTCATCATCTTTTTCTTATTTTCACAACGTCATATCTTATTCTTTTTTTTAAATCTGGAACCTCTCCCCATTCTCCTTTTGCTTGTAGTCGTTCCCTTATGCTCTTCATGCTTGTTTAGCTTATCAACCAGAACTATAACCAAAGGCATTTAACATTCAGTAGCATTAATTGAAGTTCGTACCATTTGGTACTCTCGTTGACCTTCCTTACCAATGGGTGAAGGTGAGGTTCCGAATACATGATTCCGCACCTTAGATGCGGAAATGAAACAGTATAAATACACTGCATTTCCATTTGGGAAAAGAGATAGAAGAAAGGGTAACACAGTCTTTTCATATTAATTTTAATAGACTAGTGGCTACTATTGCTAAGTATTAAAATTGCTGGATAAAAAGTAAATACCAGCTTAAACAGTGGTTACCCCACGCCATTCCTACCATTTATCATGAACTATGTCACATCTCTTTCCACACTCCTAGAAAGAGCACTTCTTAGCAATTTTGATCTAATTTAGACCAATACTTTTCCTTTCATCTATTTTGCACCTGAGATTTCGTATTTTTATTAGTTTCGGAGTTAAACATACATTTCTTCATTTTTTTCCATCTCCTCCACTTATAAATTAATACTTATATTATATATCTTTATTATACAGTGTATATAATTAGCTATACATATTTATATTAAACTAGTCTTAAGGTACGAGCAATGCACGTGTATCCTATCTCAATAAGTATGATTTAGTTAAAAATTATATCTAATTATAAAATAAAATTTTAAGTTATTGAAGATGATTATGATCATGTATAACTAACTCAATAAATAAAGAAACTGCTTCATATGTCAACAATTTAACTGAAAGAATCAACTTTATAATTTTATAACTTCGATTTCACAAGTTCTCTTACTTCCTTTTTAGTTTTAGCTAGAACATGTAACAACTTGAAAATTTGAATATTGTTGAAGTATAGAACTTAAAAAACATATAAGCACGCTATTATTAATTAATAAATTTCAAATCATCATAAATATCTAAATGCAACGAAAATTAAAAAATGCATTCAAAAATGATATTAAAGCAAGTTAGTGAGAGAATCTACAATTGAAAGATGGGCTTTGAAGTGTTACTATACAAGTAAAATTAATATTATTCTAATATTGGCTAACTCTGTAATTCTAAATATCTGTAAAATAATCAACTTTTTTTAATGTGAAATCTAAAAAATCGGTCAACATTTCTTGTTTGAACACATGTATTTTCTCTTAAATTTAAATGAACCATCCTTTTGAATATCACACGACAATTATAATCATTTATGTGTCATTATATCATCTAGAATGACAGGATATTTATTATATATTTTTTTCATGATTCTTTAAGAGTCTTCAAATTAACATAATTTTTTTAAAATTTGAATCTTTCTTTTGGAGATTTGAAACGAAGAAGTTGGTCATATAGTTCCTAAGAAAATGAATTAAGTGGTAATGTAAAATCTGAAAATGACTAATATCGAATAAAAATTTATAATAAACAACATAATATAAAAATAAAATAGAGAGTCAATTATAGGAATTGATGAAAAATGAAAAAGAAATTAATGTCAGCTTATATTGATGAATACATTTTGTATCTATAGAATCATCTTTGTTTTTTCAAGATTGGAATTTAAATAATTTAACTCTTAACACTTTAGTGTAAGAGATTTCACTTGATTTTCTGATTTCTTTCATCAACAGTAGTCTTTATGAAAATAATTTATATACCCTAAGATCGTGTCGATTGAACATTTCACTTGATTTCAGATTTCATTCATCACCAATGGTCTTTGTGAAAATAATTTACATACCTTAAGAATTGTGTCAACTGGAAAATGATTTCACTTATATGTTGAATTTGAAAAAGAATAATATTTTTGGTTTATTCAAATTCCTCAATGTGACCTTATACAAAATTTTAAGTTTTTAATTCTAATTAGATCTTTTAAATAAAAATTCTCTTTTTCAAATAGTTAAAAAAATTGAATGGGTGAAAAACATCCATGCAAGACTTGTTCCAAACAATTAAAAATAAAAGGAAAACTTAACTTTTATAAATCTCAAAGAATTAACAATCATTATATACCAAAAAATCTAAAATTTGAATAATTTCTTAGGAACAACAAATATTTTTTTTAATCAAGAAATCCACTTATATTTAGCTTAATTTATCATTATTTAAAAAATTAAAGATTTTCGTAAATTAACTTATTGGAATCACAGATAATTTCTGAGTTACAATGGATTTCTTCTCGATATTTGAATAAATATGATAAATAGTTTAAAATTCTGAAAGTTAACGATGTATTACAGAATAATATTATTAATGGAATATTCTAGTCTATTTTGGACGGCGACGATGGACTGTATAAGGGAGGAAGCAAGAGAGGCGTTGGGAGTTTTGAAAGGTTACTATGGCGGGCACCGAGGCGACTGGTGGAGGAATGATGTGATCCAAGGTAAAGTGGAAGCCAAGAAAGTGGCTTACATTAAGTTAGTAGAGAGCACCGACGAGGATCAGAGGAGAGCGAACAAAGAAAGATATAAGGAGGTTGGGAAGAAGGCGAAATTAGCGGTCATAAAGGCTAAGATTGTTGCTTTTAGTCAGCTTTATGAGGAACTTGGGGCAACGGTGGGGACAAAAAGTTATTTCGGTTGGCCAAAGTGAGAGAGAAGAAGGCTCGCGACCTGGATCAAGTGAGGTGCATCAAAGACGATGACAGTCGAGTATTGATGGAAGAGGCCCAGATTAAGCACAATGATAGCCGTACTTTCATAAACTTCTGAATAAAGAGGGGGATGAAAATATCGTGTTAGGGCAATTGGGGCACTCCAAGAGTCATCGAGATTTTAGGTATTGTAGGCTCATTATGGTTGAGGAGGTCTTGGGTAAGATGAGTCGGGACAAAGCGACCAGACCAGACAAGATTCCAGTAGAGTTTTGGAGATATGCGGGTAGAGCAGGCTTGGAGTGGCTGACTGAGTTGTTTAATATTATCTTCAGGACAAAGAGGATGCCTGATGAGTGGCGGTGGAGTACAATGGTTCTGGTGTACAAGAACAAAGGGGATATCCAAAATTGTAACAACTATAAGGATATCAATTTACTAAGTCATACCATGTAAGTTTGGGAGAGGATGGTGGAAGAGATGATAAGGAGGGTGGTGTCTATATCGGAAAACCAGTTCGGGTTCATACCAGGTCGTTCTACTGCAGAAGCTATCCACCTTATCAGGAGGTTGGTGGAACTATACAAGGGTAGGAAGCGGGATTTGTATATGATATTTATTGACCTAGAGAAGGCATATGACAAGGTCCCTAGGGAAGTCCTTTGGAGGTGTCTGGAGGTGAAAGGTGTGCCGGTGGCTTACATTAGGGCGATAAAGGATATGCATGATGGAGCTATGAGTTGGGTTAGGACTGTGGGAGGTGACTCAGAACCTTTTCCAGTGGTTATGGGGTTACACCAAGGATCTGTGCTCAGCCCATTCTTATTTGCTCTGGCGATGGATGCACTAACACACCATATCCAAGGAGAGGTGCCATGGTGTATGTTATTCGCTGATTATATAATTCTGATTGATAAGACGAGAGACGGTGTTAATGGAAGACTGGAGGTATAGAGGCAGGTCTTGGAGTCTAAAAGTTTCAAGTTGAGTAGGACTAAGACGGAATATGTAGAATGTATGTTCAGCGACTTGACGGGAAAGCGGATGTGGAAGTCAGGCTTGAATCACAGGTCATCCTCGAGAGAGAAAGTTTTAAGTACTTAGGGTCAATTATCCAGAGAGATAGAGAGATCGACGGGAATGTTACACACCGTATTGGGGTGGGATGGATGAAATGGAGGTTAGCGTCTAGAGTCATATGTGACAAAAATATGCCACTGAAACTCAAAGGTAAGTTCTATAGAGCGGTGGTTAGACCGTCCATGTTGTATGGAGCTGAGTGTTGGCCAGTCAAGAATTCACATATCCAGAAGATGAAAGTAGCAGAAATGAGGATGTTGAGATGAATGTGTGGGCACACTAGGCTGGATAAGATTCGGAATGAATATATTCGGGAGAGGGTGGGCGTGGCTCCCGTGGATGACAAGATGCGGGAAGCGCGACTTAGATGGTTCGGACACATGCAGAGGAGAAGCCTAGATACACCAGTTAGGAGGTGTGATCTGTTGACTTTGGCAGGTATGAGAAGAGGCAGAGGGCAGCCTAAGAAGTATTGGGGCGAGGTGATCAGGCAGGACATGGTGCGACTTTAGATTTTCGAGGACATGGCCCTTGATAGAAACATGTGGAGGTAGAGAATTAGGGTGGTAGGCTAGGGGTTAGTCGAGAGTTCTTCCCTCTTTATACCGGGCAGTCTGATAGAGTTTTGTTTAGGTTTATTAGTAGTCTTTGTTGTGTTCATATTGTTATTTTGCATAGTTTTGTATTATTGTCCTTTCACTTATTCGTGTTGTTATTTTCTTTCTGACATATTTTGTTGTTACATGATTTTTCTCTTTTTTCTTTTATGATATTATTGTCTCTTCTGTTAAGCCGAGAGTCTCTCGGAAACAGCCTCTCTACCCTTTTCGGGGTAGGGATAAGGTCTGCGTACACTCTACTCTCTCTAGACCCCACTAGTGGGATTTTACTAGGTATGTTGTTGTTGTTGTTGTATTCTACTCTTTTTAAATTTCGTAACATAAAATGAGTAATTGTATATATGAAAACGTAAAACATTATTAAAAAGTGAAGCACCTCTGTTATATCCAAGAACCCCATACTTCCGCTTTCTTTGATATTTTTAATTCTTTCCTTCATTTATTTCGTTTATTATTTTTATATAATTTATGTGTGAGATTTATATAAGATACATTTTCAATTGTTATAACCTATTTGATAATATAGTTTGAGTTTAATTATTTCAAGACTTTTGCCACATATAAGAGTACTTTGATGTTTGGAATCCACACCTTAAAAGAAATATGTTACCAAAAATTTTACACGTTAGATTTTATGTTTTTCCTTGTAGTTCTATAGATTAATTGAAATACTAATTGATTTCAAAATCCTAAATATTAGGACTTCCTACATTAGTTCATATAAAGAAATAATTTAATATGTAATATTTTAGTTGACTTTAAAGTCATAAATATTAAGAAAATAATAAAATGACTAATTTGTCCAATATAAACTATATTTTAAAAGGGTAAAAAGGCGAACGCTATTTCACTAAGGGTCTTCGTGCATTTAATAGTGAAATTTATATAGATACACTTTCAAATGTTATAACCTACTTGATAATATAGTTTGAGTTTAATTATTTGAAGACTTTTGCCACATATAAGAGTATTTTGCCATTTGGAATCCACACCTTAAAAAAAATATGTTACCAAAAATTCCAAACGTTAGATTTTATGTTTTTCCTTATAGTTCTATAGATTAATTGAAATACTAATTGATTTCAAAATCCTAAATATTAGGACTTAATACATTAGTTCAGATAAAGAAATAATTTAATATGTAATATTTTAGTTGACTTTAAAGTCATAAATATTAATAAAATAATAAATAACTAATTTGTCCAATATAAACTATATTTTTTTTGGTAATTAATCACTATTATATTAATCACCCGTAAAACTGTACAAAACCATAGCATCGCTTGCACAGCTAGCTATCTCATTACAAAACTCCATCTGCTATGTCCTACACTCCTCTATACATTCAAAGGAAAATATAACTATGAACTGTACTTTGAATACTAGCAGTAACTTTAACATTACATGTGTATGCTATCTCACGGGCAATACTATTCCAATCATGTGTCCTTTTCTTAAAAATTCTCAAATTTCTCTCAATCCAAATAGCGTGTACTATTTCTGCATATACCAGTCTGAATATTCTTACTCTTGTGGTCTTGCCTTTAGCATAATGCAAGCTCCAGCCCGTATGTTGCTCCCAATTCTGCGTCCTGGTATAATCATGCTGCATCCATTGCATAAGCTTCATCCATAGGTTCCTCGTATATTCACATGTGACAAACAGATGGTCTCTATTTTCCTCATGGTTGTGACATAGAGTGCATTGTGTATCCACTGCCAAGCCCCACTTTTCCAGTCTATCTGTGGTTGGGAGTCTTCCATGTAATAGCATCCATATAGTATATTGTGCTTTTGGCCTCGCGCAATTCTGAAACATTAGGCACTTCCACGGCACTCGAGTTTGTTGTCCCAACAGCTGAAGGTATATGTGTCTAGTTACACTAGTGTCCTTTTTGTTCCTCTGTACCAGACTACAATCAGTTCTAGCATTGGAGATTTGTCTGATCATCCAACAGGCTTGCTTGGGAGCTGGCATTTGCATGAATTGCTGCCCTTTGATATAATAGGAGTGAATCCATTTAATCCACAATCTAGCTTGCTTTGCTTCCACATCCCAACATATTTTTGAAATAGCAGCCCTATTCCATAGATGGATGTTCACCAGGTTTAGGCCTCCACAAGATTAGGAGAGCACATCTTTTCCCAAGATGTCAATGCTTTCTTAGTTATGGTATTGGTTGCAGACCAGATATAGCTACGACAATATGCATCAATAGTTTTAAGCACCTTAACAGGTAGAGGTAGGAGCCGAGCCCAGTATGCTTGTACTCCAAAAATTACACTTTGTACTAGTTGTACTCTTCTGCATAAGATAGTTTCTTAACTGTCCATGGAGATACCCTTGCTATTATTTTCTGAATGAGTGGATGCCATTGGATCATTGATATCTTTTTTGTTGACAGGGGAATACCTAAATATTTGAAAGTCATCTCCCCTTATCCATATCCCAGAAGCTGCAGGATTTTATCTCGTTCATCTCTTGGTACCCCTCCAAATACACTGAACTCTTCCCCATATTTGCTTGTAATCCTGAAGCTTGAGCAAACTGTTTGAAGCATTTGTGCATGACCTTCACTGATGATAGGTCTGTTGATACCCAATTTTTCCCTATATATTTTTTATACTCAAAATACTTTCAAAATATAGCATGTGTATGCATATATAAGCATGCACAAGTATTTTGGTATTTTTTCAAAATTTTTAAAGATTTTCAAAACCAATTTATTGTCTATTTTAACAGTACAAAATCCAATAATTATTCCCAAAATCATCAATTTTGGTGAATAATATATTTTATTCCCATATTTATACCAAAATATAGTTAATATAATTTTTGGAATATTTTTACAAATTAATTGGGTATTTTAAAAGCTAAATTGCATATAATTGCAATTATAGCCTACTTTAAGATTAATAGCATTTTATAATTGCACAATTGGTTCCAATATTTTTAAATTAATATTTATATATTATTAATTGGGTCAGTACTTTAAATTTACTTTTTAAATTATTTTTATTATTTTTTATAAAATAAATAGAGAAAAAATGGCTATTTAATATATAGCCAAATTGGCTTTCAATTTTAGCCCAAATTAACCCCCA